GGTGGAAGTCACAAAAGTAAAGTCGGTGTATTGTAAGTGCCGGACTGGGTCTGTGAGATATAAAAGATGAGGCGAGCTTTGAATATAGCCTCTATGGTCCCGAAAACGAATTTCATTTTAATTTTGCTAACAGTTTTATATGCGTGAGTTTTCTTTCATGTTCAAGTTGTGAATTATGGTATACTTAAGAGGAAGATACCCCTTACTTAGTGAGAGGGCAGTTGCAGATCGAGATTTATTAAATCTTTGATGTGTGGACCAGAGCTCTCTCGCCCCCTTTACTTGTCGATTCACTACCTCCAAGTGATGCACCGTGGGCAACGTATACCCCTACGACAAAAAAGTCTATAAACCGACGGTTGACATCTGACTCCAAACTACCATGACCCGACTATATGCTATATTCTACCACTTTCCCAGTACTCGCCTTACCCTGCTCTCGACCTTTGTGTCGGTCTCTTTTTCATTTGTGAATACCTCCACAGTTATCCCTCTCAACTTTTGTGACTTTGATGTTCCTCCCCTCTCTGTGAAGCCCGAAGTCAACTGGAGGGCTTATGATAACTATCATGAAGCCTGCCATGCGATATTAATAAATGACTTTCCAATTCACTAAAAGTTGTTTAGCTCAAAGATCTAGGCAAACAAAAATCCTTAAGTAAGCAGAATTGTGCGCCAAAATGTGGATAATGAGAGATTTCTTGATATCAATTACCTAAGTGCGCTGTTAGACCGCAGTCTGGACAAACAACAACAATCTAACAATAAACAAGGTACCAGAACAAATTGCTGAAACTACACACAGGAAAAAAGGATTATTTGAAAGAGAGATTGGAAGGAGGTGGAAAATTCCTGAACCTGGTTGATTGGAAAATACACATACACACACTGTACCTCTCTCTCTCTCTCTTGATTTATGTAGCCCCTCATGTTGGCAGTTATGAGAAAAAAGCAGGCATTTACCAACTACCCTCCCTCCAAATTAATAGACCACACTGAACTTCTTCTAGTATAAAGAGGCGATGGAGTGCGTAAGTAAGCGTCTAAGTTGGAGGAATGGAGATCGTTTTCTTCAAGACAGGGCATACACCATAAAGCAATCCCAGTTAATGGTGCGTGTCAAAATTAAGCCCCACCCCACCCCTCACCTCATATCAAATTCGTAATCTATGCTACTTACTAATATGCATATCTCCATGCACTGAAACCAGTCATCAAGCATACTTAATTTAGAAGTCAAATAGGGTAGTAATATATGATACCAAGTATTTTCAAATGAGGAATTTAAGAGATTGTATCCCAGTTTTTAATATTCGCATTTCCTTATTTTTGTGCTTTTTCTCTACTTGACTTATACTATACCCCTCCTGAAAAGTCAGAGGCCACCTGTTTGATATCATTCTGTCCGCATCCAGTAAGCAGAATGGTCAACCAGACTGGTAGGGGGGGGGGGGGGGGGGTTNGGGGGGGGGGGGGGGGGGGGTGGTGTTCGAGGTGGTAGAATTCGAGCTTTCAATCAGGATGCCACTATGATAATTCACCTCATCCCAAGATGACCACCATCAAACGCTTTCGATTTATTAAATTTTATAACGCGTTTACATTTTTTCCAAAGAAATTACTCCAGTAAATTCGATCTTGGGAAATGTCTCATTCGCGACCTTTCTACTAGGTAACTTGGATTTGTATTAAAAATTAACGATTTTTGAACCAGATTGGGGAGGAGAAGGGCGGGGGGGGGGGNAAACTGAATGAAGTTCAATTAATACCTATCTTCAGTCAAAATTTACGGAAAGCGACGACGCGATTGTCATTTCAATCAGCGCTTTATTAGAAAAGAAAAAAAGGTGACAAATTGATTAAATATATACACACACACGCACCCCCCCCCCCTCCTTCAATATGGATACTTGTCATAAACGAATCTTGAAATAAATAGATTTAAAGCCAGATTCTTCTTTTTATTTTGAATTCACTAAACAAGAATGAATAAACTTTAGAATTTTTGGCGACAAACGCTAACTGAGCGTGAATGTTGAAACTGTATTTAGTAAAAAAAAATCGACTTGGCCTTCAATTAGGATGGTAAAGCACACCCACACTCACACACGTGTTAGCTTTATCACTAAAATCTGAATTTTTAAATGAGAGTATCATCCTTATAAATAATTGGGGCACAACGTAAAAAACGCACTACGAGGAAACTTTAAAGGTGGTCAAATATTTAAGGGGGAAAAAATGACCATCGGGAATAGAGGAGAGATGGAGAAGACTAAATTCTAGATTGGCACACACCGAGTATGTTCGTGAATTTGTTCCACAACTCTCCTCTCCCCACCCTCCACCCCCCACCCCCATCATCGCACTCCTGTATGAATAATTGAGTAGCAGGAGGCAGGAGGTAAGATGTGTGCGACGAACCCCTCTCGGTGGGTGTGTACAACTGTCTAGCCCAGGGAGATGGGAGTGGGGGGGGGGGAGGGGTGGGGAGGGGAGGGGGAGGGGAGGAGTTGCATGTGTTCTTCCACCGAAAGTAAAGAGTGGCGAGAAAAGTGAAAAGAGAGGAAGTCACGTTAAAAATATGGCGCGAAATTAGAGTACCGAATCACCTCAGTATCCGCGTTCTCTCTCTTTGGAAGATTCATAATCGTGAATGAGAAGATAAGAAGCATAAAAAATAATGCCCGGAGTTTCACATCCGTAACTTAATTACGACTCCGAACGATTATTGGCAGGAAATCGACTTATCGATCACAAGGGCCCAGTTATGTCGCGAGTTCAAAACAGAGGTCTATTACTGATACGAGCAAGTTACTCGAATTTTCCCTATTCTAAATATATTCCATGGTATTGAATTAGCCAAACCCCCCACCCTCCCCTCCACCCCCACCCCACTCTCTCCCCCCTCCAAAAAACATTAAACTGTAATTCCAACAATTTTAATCAGATTATTTCGACAGTTTAATTTACAAAATATTAACAAAATCTGCCAAATTAATCTAACAAGTTTGATGATAATTTGAAAAAAAATTCGAACACACTAAAATTTGATTAACGCTAAATGATTTACTTAGTTAATTCTCACAGTAACTCTGAGATTTCGAGTTGTGCCGAAATCTTCTTAATATATTTATAAATACTCATTTAAGGAAACAAAATGTAGTATTTAAGTGATAAAAATGCTACATTTTATTCAGAAATTTTTTACGTTTCTTGATATAAATAAATTAATAGACTATAAATTTAGGGGGGAGAGAGAGAGTTACTATTTATGTTGACAGCATGGTTCCATAAATTTATTTGGAGAATGTCAACATGTCCCTGCAGAGTTCAAGATGTTCATGTTTGCTCCTGAAGGAGGAGGCATGAAGTCCTCATTTATCTTCATTAAATCTACTCATAATAGACATGCAGCATTTATTTCACGAGATTCTCAAGAAAAAGCTTTCGGACAATTCGAGTTTCAACCCGATTTATCGAGGGGTTGAACTATTCACCTCGTTGAATAGAAGAAGATTAATCGGAAGGGTGGATGTTTAATTAACTACGAGATTCCTCCACTAAATGAAAATGTTTGATTAAGGCAAATTCTTCACTCATTCGATCAAAATGTCAAAACTGAGATTTGTTTCCCATGCTAAGAGACGTCAAGAACCTGTCATTTAGGAGTTGGGATGACACCTCTTCAAAAGTGAGGTGTCAAATAAGGATTGACCAACCCCATATAAGTAAGTATCTTAGTTTCTCATAACCTTAACGAAATATCATAAATAACCCCTAATTAGATGGAAAAATACGATCTTTAGCCTGGAGCGATTGAGTGTTCTAGGAATTTCATGAAATTAATTAAGTTATCATTAATTAAAGACCAGTCAAATTCAAGAAACAACCCCCCCCCCATATCTGATGAAATTGTTTTTTTAAAGAAAAGTCTTGATCGAAAAAGAATAACGACTTTAATTCGTGATGAACCTTGACCAAGAGCTTCTATTCTTTGGGAGATTATCGAAAATAAAGCGCATAACAATCCAATTTCGAAGAATCACCGTCAGGATCGAGTATGCTTAAATCTAAGCCTAACAAAAAAATAATTTTTTTTTCAATTCAATTGATCACCACCGTATTTAGAGATAATCTTTGCGTGAACTCTAGTCGGTTCTGATGTGCTTATGATAATATTTGAGTATCTTACTTTCCCAGCTTCCAAAAGAAAAATAGCTTGATAAAAAGTTCATTTAAATTTTATAACCTCAAACTAACACTCATTCAAATATATTTTTTCGTCTTTTATATTGTATGTAAGTAAGCAAGAAATACTAAACAACCAGTATCCACAAATCAAATCAAATGAGGCTCTTTTGGTAGAGCAAAGTAATGTTCAAAACACCTTTCGGCCGCCTTCTGCTAATTCATTATTTGTGATATAAATATTCCAATGTCTCCAATTCTTAATGGCTGTTGATTGTTACCTATATCATGGCCCATGATTTAAAAAAAACACGTGGCTTTCTCCCACATCAGCGCCGCACAAACGATGTTTGATAATGAAGTGTTGAAATTATCGACACAAGTTCTAGACATTCGAGAATAAACTCCTCGATTTAGAGCTTGAGGTAGACTGACCAAATTAAATGAATCTTGTAAAAAAGAGAATCAAAGGAGGGGGGTTGGAGGGAGAAAAAAATCAACTCACAAAGGCATTCGCCTGTCCAGAATCCTCCGACCTCTGCACATCCGCAGTCAAATATCCATCGGCACTTACTGACGGTGACCCAAAGGAGCCACCACTTCCAGTCATACTTCCCAAATGCCGGCCTTGCGACTCCCAGGGAGGGGAATAGAAAGTGGAATTCGATAGAGGAGCAGCACCGAGTTGAGCAGCTGCAACAGCAGTTGGCGACGCAGAGGAGGACGCCAAACCGCTGAGAAAACCGCCCCCACCGCCTCCACTGGGACTATAATCAGCTGCTCCGCTACCAGTGAAACCTCCCACTGGAGAGGCCGATGAACGCATTGCGGCCATTACAGCGGCTAGAGCGGCAGGGTAGCCGGGAAGGAAATAGCTGGCGAAACGGGGGTCTGTTGGCCAGGGCATCTTGAAAACTAATGTGGAGAGAAAGAGATATTGATTTGCACCCATTCTTAAAAGTAATAAGAAAGAAAGAAAAGATGTAATTGCAGCCAGAAAAAAATAATTACGTTTAGAGCTCCTGTCTCCCGATCTAGCTTAGTGACATTGTTTGTGACATTACATTTAAACTTGCATTCTTTGTGGAAGGAGGGGGGGAGGGGGGAATTTATTGAGACTTCATTGACGGCCTGGTCACCTGGCCAAGAAATATGGAACTTGGATGAAGATAATTAAACTTTGAGTATTGTAACATTCGATCGCACTACGGCGAACTGAATGTATCAATTAAGGTAAAGGAAACGCATTTCAAATGCCTTTAACGGTTTAACCCTTAAGTTCTTAGTCTTCTTATAATGTTCTACGATTATGAAACACTTTCCCGATGGATGGCAGATTTCAGACATTCATCCTTCTTGAAAACCGCAACTGTATCACAGAATAGCAAGTTGGACTTAAAGTGGTATGCTATCTCAGCACACCTTATGTCGCTCATTTGCTATCAAACCTGAGTCGTCAAATAAAACAGCGAGCCTGTACGCTGACTGACATCTACTTCGAACCTTAGAGAGCATATTAATCCGCGTGACCAGAATGCCTAAGATAACTTCACACGATTGCTGTTCCCCGCCTGTCGACATCAAAGGATTATTAAAGTGGTGGGGGGGGGGGGGGGGGTGTGTGGGTGAGGAGGGGTAATAATTGCCCACTGAAAGGATTGACGGGTTGTATCGTTTGTTGTCTCACTTTCCCGCTACTTTTGTCAAAAGAGAGAAGACGGCGTTTCAGAGATAGTTCTTTGAGTAAACACACGCGTTAAGATGTCATTGTGCTCTTTATAGTTCGTTACTTCTCCACGAAATAAAAGCCTTACTTTGAACACGCAATTTAAATTTCATTTGCTCTACTTAACTACCGCAGAGCATAATGTAATTTAATATCTAGGATGGCTTGTACTTTCCTTTTTCAACTGCCTAACAACCATATGATATAGTATAATAATACATTAGTTTAGGAGGCGGGGAGGGGGATAATTTAATAAGCGTTTATAAAAGTCCTTAATGGCAACGATTTTGGCTAAAGGCGTGGCCACTTTGAATCTGACCTAATGAGAAAGTAGAATTCTACACTTCTCCTCTTATTAATCGGAATTAACTGATGGGATAAGCCCCTTCCACTCTCTGAATGCGCAAAGACGGAAATCAAATCAATGACCTACGAGCATATAAATCGATTTCAAGTGGTCCAAGATACGTTGCGCTCCTTTGATTCATTCAAGTATTGGTTGTTGGCCAAATGAATTTTCAAATGTACGATAGATTAAAAGAATCCCCAAGATTTAAACGTTAATTGAGGTATTTTAAGGAAATGTAAATAAAACAAAATGTTGGTTTCTCCTCGTATTGTAGCCAACTCACTTGCTTCAGTTCTTCATTTGGCAGCCAGTAACTAGAGCTTATGGTAAATCATCCAATAGATTGACAACAGGCACCCATGAATGTGATTTAATCTTCCATTTTTGCACTGAAAAATCCAATGACAAATTTGTGGGGATGCATCATTAACGAGGATTAATAATGTAAGCTGAGGTGTGCGATAGATTTAATCCTACGTGGTGCACCCTAGGCAACGTAGTCTCATACGGCAAAAAGTCTATCAACTGGTAGTTGACTTCTGACTTCAAACTACCATGACCCCACTGTACGTCATATTCGACCCCTTTCACAGTACCCATCTTACCTTTTTCTGCCTTTGTGTCTCTGTCTCTTTCAAATCTGTTAATTATTATTCTGTCCCACCTCTCGACTTTTTGTGATTTTGATGTTCCTCTCATTTGTGAAGCCCGACGTCAGCTAAAGGGCTAATGAAAACTAACAAAAGGCCTGCCGTTCGAAATAAATCAATAAACAAATATTGAAAGTTTTCAAGCCAGTTAGAGTCATTCCTCCTATTCCCTCTATACAGCTATGCTGACAATATAAATAGACTAACCGGCCACGTCACATTTATGGGAGAAAAATCGCTTAAAATCGGGAGAAAATGATCATATTGAGGTTGATATTACCACTAATTAATTTTAGCGATTAGAGGGTGCCTTGCCTATACCAAAAACTGATGATATTTCGATCGCATATGAAATGCTAATCATTTAGAGGGCATATTTCGGAATCCTGAGAGAAATTTGAACCTCAGCAGTTTGTAGCAGGGGAAAACACTTCCTGATGCAATAATTAGAGTTGTGATAAATGCCCAGCAATGTCTGATGAAAAAAAGCCTCACCATTAATAGCTATCATCGCAATGCTTTATGATTTGTGATTGTGAAAAAAATAAATCTTAGCTCTGCACTCATCGAAGAATAAATATCGCACGATTTTCACTTGACATGCCTGCCTTAGTGTCACTTCATGACTCAGCAAATCATATTAATTTGGTGTGTCCGTGGGTGATTATTAAGTTCCAAGTGAATCCCAACCGGTTAATCTATTTTTGCTTCGGATAGTAATTCGAGTAAACAGTGTAATTGCAATTAAAAATGAACAAAGACAATTGATGAAAATGTGTCCTTAAGGGTATCCTAAGTTAAAAAAAACAAACTCCTTTTTTGATAATGTGTTCAATTGTCAAATACTAATAATCAATGATAGCTGTTGTGTCGGTTCGAATAATCTTATCTGTTCTGGGGGTGAGGGAGGGAGGTGGGGGGGGGGTCAAAAAATAATGCACCTCTCCCTTCCCTCCCTCCCTCCCCACCTCTCCCCGTATCCATTAAATACACAAGCGAACATACAAGAAAATGGGACATACGCAAGCATTAAATTAAGCGATGGATATATGGTGGGGGTGGGGGTGGGGGTGG